TGTCTAACATGCCCTTTCTATTAAGTAAAACAAAAAAAACCCTGCCTGACTTCTAGCTAGACTAACCGTTAAAGCTGTCACTGGTGCAGTTTTTCATTCACTTATGAAAGGGAAATTTTTTAAAAGCCACAAAAATACTGGTTTTGAACACAATTATTCCATGTGCTGAAGTTTTGTCATTATGCAATGAATCGTCAGTGCTGAGTGGACTTATTTTCATCAGAATTCAAATCCAAATCAATTAAGAATGAACAGTAGTCTGAACACCCTAAGAGCTTAAAGGCGAATCTGTAGTCTTACTACCCAAAAATTACTACTGCATATGAGAAGTGGGTAACGAAAAAACCAAACTGGTTTTGTCTCATAGCTAGTGTAATATTTTTACATGAACATTCATATTGTTGTAAGCTTTCCTGACAAGCTATGCTCTACTCAGTAAATGACTAACCATCTCACATACCACTGGAGAAAAGCAGATCCAAGATTTTGCAAACTGCACTATGCTCTCATCACTTTCTTTCTCTGTTCAGTCTAAATTTATTAATGGATATTTATATCTGTTGTACCATGTGCCAACACTTTTTTATCAAAATCACCCTTCTTTCACCGCAGTGCTCACCCCTTCACGTATTTATAGAGAACAAGCAGCCCTACTGAGCCTTTGTTTTGCCAGAGAAACAAACGACTGTTATTTAGACTCCTCCTGTGACATGAACGCTCCATTCCTTTAGTTATCCTACCAGCCCACTCCGCACCTGTTAATAACACCATCATAAGCAAAATTTACCCTATCTTTCTCTTCCTAAACTGTATCAAGGATTATCCTAAGCTTACAGCAGTCTTACTGTTCTAACGTCACGATCATGCATTTTGTACTATTGTATTTCACTTAATTTTATTATTCAAACTCCCTAGCATATTTCATAAATACACTTTTCATTCTAACACCATTAATCAAAGCATTAAATAATATGCTCCTTCCACCCCAGCAATTCCGTTTCAGCTGCAGTTACCTCTCTTTGGCTAGGCATTTCACATTAAAATTTGAGCTGATCACTATCTTACCCAGTTTCCTTTATATTATATTAAAAAAACCCACCAATCTAAATCCAAACCAAAATTACACATTTTCTTCATCAACAAAACCAAAAAAACCCAGAAAGCTAAGTTTACTGAAAGTACACTGTGCTGGGATATACTGCATTTAATTTTAACCTGTTCTCATTATAAACAGATAAATCATGAAAGACATAATAAAAGTTATCAAAAAGCTTTAGTATAGGAGGAGAGTTGGTTGTCCTATGTAATAATAATAAGTTATAAAAAACAAAATTTATATATATGGAGAAATTTAATAAACAGACCAACATGGCTTTTATATTAGAGGAATAGTATGAATCATAAATCTTAAGTGATGCAACTCACAAGTGTGAGTATGCAAGATAAACACCTCAAAACCAAAAGAATTACCATTCATATGAAGTCTTCTTCAGGATTATTAATAATGTTCATATACTAAATAGCATACACTTACAAACTTCATTGCCCATATCTTCAAGCAGACATTTCTTCCCGTGAGTATTGACACTTTCTGTGCCAATAACTTTCTGACAAATAGCAGAACATTACTATTCATCATCTTGGTTTAATTTTTGCTTGAATTTGTAAATGATAACTTTATTACAAGTGTTCTTACTTTTCAAACTGATTTATACAAGTACACCTCATTACGCTGATGAATTTATTTGTGAATATAATAAATACTTTGAAGATGCCGCAGCTTGGAACACTCTAGATCATGAATCTCTCAGAAATAGATGTTTATAAATTTTAAGAATTTATGTTGTTGCAATTATCTTGCACTGTAAAGATGTTGGCAGAGCAGCGCACATGGGTACCAGCAAGCTATTAACCAACAAATATTCAAAAGAACATTCATTTTCCTACAAAACCCCAGCGATACCCTTTCATCTGAAGTTAGGGGAAATGTTGAAGCTATGCTGTTTCTGAGCAAGAAAAAAAAAAGGAGAAAAAGTAAGGAGAGAATATAGCAACCTAGAGCACATTATATGAATTACAAAACAGTGGGACAAGAAGGAAAGAACATTTTCAAATAAGCTTCTGTTAAAGTTGCAGTCATTTTCACAATGCTTTATTCCCATAAAGTCGGTAAACTGAGCTTTGGCTCCACCTCTTCTCTTCAATAATGAGCCAATCAAGTAGTCATTACAAGCAGAAAAAGTAGTAGCACTTCATAAAATGTTACAGCAATTTACACTCCACCTAACCCCCTAGAAAGGGGAATTTCAACATCAAAGTTCCCTCTTTCGGGACACCAACAGGTGGCACAGTTATATACAGATTTATATTTAGACCAATGTTTCTAGAAAATAAGGAAGAGGGAGAGAAATTAAATTAAACTGTAGAGAAACATAAGGTGAGCCTGATTAGTAAGAAGGGTTAGATACCCGCTCTCTAAAAATATATCCCTACTACATCTTTATATTTCTGGGAGATTGCCAGCCTTACTGTCCTAATCAACAAATTTGTGCCTGTGCTTATGCATGGTGGAAAGTAGCTTTAAGATTCCATTATCAAGTAGCGACTTCTGTTGATTAAATCAATAATAGATAGTGTTCACATAAATCCTTCCCCCCCACACTTGTTTACCATAATTAACTTATATATATGTGGTGTATAGGAATTTGGTATTAGTTTTGAAAGCTGTACATAAGTTAAATCCAGTTAGAAACTGCATTAAATTTAATAAAATTCACAAACAAATCTTAAGAGTATGATGATTCCCCAAAATTGCAACATACTACTGTCCTTAGCTGGTTATGCCACAGATATCTTATTGTAAGCATTACAGAAGCACTTAAAGGTTCATAGCAAAGTTTAACTACTTCATCACATTCAAAGTACAGTATATCCTTCAAAAAGCTTGTGCTTGCTTAGTCATATCAAATTATTTTCTGAGAAGTTATTTCAGGACCAACAACAATAACAGACTGTAATCAGTGTGCCACTGACAAAAATGCATTGATTTTTCAAAACAAAAAAAAATACAAAAATAAGAAGTTTTTTCCATTACAAAAAGCATTACAGGCTTTTCAGACACTAAGAGGTTGTATGGTGACAAGGCTGTAGTATAACTTCTGCATTCCTTGGTTTCTTGTTTCTCTGTAGTCATCGTTTTGTAATCAATAATTCTCAATTTAATTCAAATAAATCTACTGATCTAGATCAATTTTTAATCTCTATTTTATATAAAATATTTAATGAAAATAACATTAACTAAAAATTTTAGGTCACAACTGCACTACTTCATCATGTTCATCTTTTAATTGACATTTTATTGTTCAACCATTCAACATGTACATGATTGCTACTTAATAAACCTCTTAAGATCATTCCCTTGAACAAAAGCTTAGCATGCCCACTATTGTGTCTAGTGTCACACAATAGTTCAGTAGGGTTTATACCCAGTGAGTGTATTTGTTACTGTTTCTGTAAAACCTATTCAGTCACTTTCCAGGAGCTTGGTCACACCTGAAGTCACTATATTACAAGCCTAGGTCTGTAACTGCCTCTACAGTACATTCACCTATGGGTGGAACAGGCAGCACTTCCTTGATGACACAAATCCACTAACCATGTCATCTTTTACCACTGTCCTGCTTTAGGCTTTTGGAGAGTTCAGGCAGAACTCATACTCACGGTGCACAAAGTGGCCACTCTTCATTACTAACTTCCTCTGGAATCTACTTTACCCATTAAAACTGGTGTGGACACCAGAGTATTCTAAACTCCTCCTGATGCAGTGAGAGATGTAACTGCTAATTAGAGTTGTCCTCATGTAAACACCCAGTTCTATTTCATGTACAAATCTTCTTTTTCCACTTCAAAATTGAGGTCTCAGTTCTCATGACACTTCGATTAATAACTATATTCCATTCATTATTATTATTATTAAACCTTTGCCAAATAGAGAAAAATAAGTTTTGGCAACAGGTAACTGCGAAGGTTGATAAGTCATCATCAATAAAAGATGCTCTACACACTTCCTCTCCAAGCTGGCTGTTTTCCTCCTCCTAAGGTAACCAGCATTTCCAGCAGATCTTCCCCTCTCTCATAGTAGCTCTCCCTAATGGGACAGAGTAGTGCTATGTCTTGACTGGAACTATAGCAATAATCAAAACAATGAGATCCCTTAAACTTCTCTTTTAGAAACATGAAGCACTGTTTTTCTGATTTGATCACTAGAAAACAATTTTATGTAATATTTGAAAACATAAAATTCTTTCTTTCATTTACATAAGAGTGGCTAAGTACAGGAAGGGAGCAAAGAAATCACATAAATTGCTTCGCAATCAAACTAATTGCAGATTACTGTATAGGAGTTGGTTAGAATCATTTAGTTATGAAGGGCATGAGACAAATGGATCCCAAAACCCTCCTGTCTCTATTAGGGAATGACTGTACAACCTTACCAGGAATAAGTCATACACTCCCTGGTCAACATCAGAAAATATTCATTTGAACTGGACAGAAACTACAGGAACACTGAGAAATGGTTACAACTGTTATTAAACAGTTAAGAGACTGGTCAGGAATACTTACCAGTACTTCTCAGGACCTCTGAGAACTAGTGATGCTGTTCACACTGAAGAAACATGTGGGGAGAGTTTTTATTTACCAGTTAACAGAAAGACAGGATTGTTCCTCAACAAAGTTTTCTGTGAGGGTTGTTATCACTGTAAATTGCACATGACTTTTCCTATATGTGTTCCTTTTAAGGAGACTACTGAAAAAATGGAAACCATTTCTAAAGTCAGCAGATGAGATGCAGTTCTCCACCATTCTTTTTAATTTCTGATTCAATTTTACAAGACATAAACATTCTGTTAAAAAACATATTCCACTCTTAACTTCTTATGCTCTCAAATGAAGTTACTAGAAATGCCACTCGATGTAAAGACAAATAATACAAGAATTACCTTTCTAACTCAGCAATTTTCTTATCTTTGTCATTCTTCTCATTCTCTACTTCCTTGAGTATTTCTAGAAGTCTGTCAACCTCAGCCTGGGCTTTGCCACATTCTTCTCTATAGTACGATGCCTCTTTGTCAAGCTGCTTCATTCTGTCTGCAAATTCTGGATTCATCCGTGCCTCCTCTTCAGCCTCATGAGCCTTCAGGATCAATATTTTTAAAAAAATAAGGATGACAAATAATTCATACAGCTTTAAGAGCTCTACTTCAGTCTTGGAGTTCAAATTTTCATTGAAAAGCATTATGGGTACTTCTGTCTGATGACAGTATTTTCTACAGAAGCATTATAAAAAGGAATGCAAATATCTTCATAGTCTAAAATTATAGCCAAATGCTATCACCCTTAAGGGGGAGGGGATTTGTTAAGGTTTTTTGACCATACTTTAAGGGTGCTTTTTTAAATTAAAAAAATCACCTTGTAATTAATTTCATTCTCATTAAGCTTTTAGAGTGTTTCAAATAGCTACTCAGTTTCTTGATAAATAATACTTGCTCTCTTCCCCCATATGTATGTAGACACTTCGTCCATCTGTGTGTATATATACACACACAGAGAAAAATATATACATATTGCAATCTGTATCACCAGATGTTTCCAATGCAGTTTGATATGAAGAATTTAAAAGGAATAAAATGTTTTTACACAGTGCTGTTTTTAAAAGACAAACCAATAAACTAAAAACTTGTTTTCAGCAGACATTTTACCCAATAATCCTTTTTCTCTTATCGTTAATACTTAACCTGAAACATCAGAAGACCAAGCCCATTAGTGGAAACGGCACAAACCTGGCAAACACATGCATGGATGGGTGGCAGTTTCACAGACAAGAAAGAACGCAATGAATACAACAACAACAGTGCAGAGCCCAGTCTCACTCCCATCAAACCTAATGGCAAAAACCTAATTAACTTCAATGGGAGCATGATCTGGCACTCAGTGCTTTAAACTGTTGGTTGGAATAATCACAGACAGATGGAAACAACAATGCACTGCAATGCTTAGCCTACCCCTTGCTTCCCATTATTCCTAATTGGCATCTTGAAAGAGCAGGCAAGGAAAAAACAAGTAGTTTAAGGCAGTGCACATTAAACATAGAAAATTCAGATAACATTCTCTTAACATACAGGAATTTTACAGATATTCAAGATATTTCGAATGGAAGGTCCTCCAACTCTCTTATTACACAGAGACGATGTGGACTTAATTATCCTTCTTAATTTCAGGGAATAGACAATGCAAGCAAACAATGAAAGAAATGCAGACCAAAACGAAACATGCGTCATTTGGAAAGATTTTCTATAAACTACATATACTAGAAGGTTCATATTCTTTGCAATGGTTAAAATTTTCTGTAAAAATAAATAATAAATCTGGGTTTAGTATAAATACAACAATTAAAAAATTGAAATTATAGGGAAGAAACATATGGGGTTTGCATGTAACATATCATTTAAGCATGAGGATAATAAGGAAAAATATAGTAGATTTTAAGTGTTATTTATCCTACAATGAGATTTTTATTCAGAGTAAATATTTGGTTACCAAAATAAGCCAAGGGAATAACATGAGAAGCCTACTAAACCTACTGGCCTTGCTCTTCAAATTCTGTATTTTGCATAATGATATATGCTCCAGCCCTGAATTTTATGCAGATACAGGAGTTTCCTATCACAGAGCTTGTTTCAAGGTTAACATTCAAAAAGCATCTTGATTTTACTGTTTGGGTAAGATGGTAGCAATAGATTCCTTTTCATTCTCATAAATATTCGTACTTTAATAATAAACTTTGATTTATTTTATACTGGACGTTAATTGTGTCAAGAAATTTATTTTCAACTAGCTGTGTCATTTTTGAAGTAAGTGTAATACTCAGACTCAGAGCCAATTATGTGGGAGAATGTGTATCAGTTTCCAGCTGCTAACTACTTCAAATTTCCATCAGCTCTGTAAGACATTAGACTATGTTTTACCTCTCCAAAATGAACACAAAGTGTTCTGGGATTCTGTGATTTTGTAAAGAATAAAAAAGAAATCCATAGGTTGGTAAAGGTAAGGTAAATTCACTCAAAAAACAAAAAAATCAATTACAACCCAACTACCACTTTTAAAATATTAAGAAATGTATGGGAAAAGCATGTTGATCCCTATTGCTCCTCAGATTTCTCCTCCTCTTCTAAGGGTAAATGCAGAATTTCACAGTTCCCCTCTAGAGGCTGTCCCTCTTTCATATTCCTTTCTGTCACCTTCCTTCCCCTTCTGTTTATTTTAGTGTATAATTCACTTATTTACCAGCCTTGCTTCCATCATAAACAGGCAAACCACCCACCTTCCTGCCTCTAACCAGTCTTTTCTTCTCTTTACCATACAGGAACTCTCAGCTTCAGCCCAAACATTTTCCCCCATGCACCTCTACCCTAGTTTTAACCCAAGACAAGAAGCAGTGCAGAAGAGATGGAGAAGCCTGTTTTTATTTTTTTTTGTGCTTTTCATTGCCACACTGGACTTTCTATGATGAAAATACATAAATTGGGCAAGAACATGAGAGTGCCACCAATGAAAGGTGCCAAATGTTCGACTATCATAGAATATTCCTGTCACATTGAACAAATTATCTACTGCACAGCTTATATTTGTGGGATGTGTTTGTGGAAAATTCCGTAGCGCAAACTGGGTAATTCTATTTCTGTATGTTTTTCAACACGAAGCAGAACCTATAAGGCATGATTAAATCCAATGTGATTAAGTACATAACCTATACAGGATTTTGAGTTGCAGTGAAATTGTCCATAATGTCACATAGAAAACAACGCAAGCATTCACTCCAAAGACAAGTATAAATTATTCTAATCTAAGAAAAAATAAAAAAATAAATAGATTTCAGTACTACAAGCCACCAGTTAAGTTGCTTGTCTCTACTTGTACAAGCACTTCCTGCAGAAAATTTTTGGACTATTGGCAGGAATCAGATCTCTATAAGGGCATTGCCTTAATGAAGAAGGAAAGTTAGTTAAAAAGGGAGAGAAAAACCATTTTTGAAAACGAGGTTTCTGCAGGTGGTGCTCTAACTTGCACTGAGTCCCTTTAAGGGAATCTTCATATTTTAAACAAAGTTGCCGATAGGAGAGCAAAACACAATCCATCTGATACTCCCAGGACAAAGGCATGGAATTGCTTGTAAGAACCCTATCATATTTTTGGTCTTTGAAAGACGTGTTTGGATTTGAACTAAGTACTTTTTTTTAGTTGCTATGTACAGATCAGGGGTGATCTGTTGACAGATGGAACTTGACTTTTGAGGTCAAACAGTAGGCGCAAAGGAGAAAAAAGGCAGCTCAGTTGATATTGACCCTGCTCCCACCCGGTCAGGGCAGATCTCTTCGGCTTTTCTGCAGGCTGTGGGAGACAGGCTTGGATGACTTCTAATCAGAAGCTGCATGGTTATTCACAGGAATCAGAAAGTCTCTGCCTGTTACGACTGTCCTGTCTTCTATTCTTTTTTTCTTTTCTGTCTCCTTTTCTCTCCCCAAGTTCTCTGTTTTCTTGGGAAGAATGCATTTTCTGTTTTTATAGGGCTTTTCTCGATAAGATGGACTGGTTCATGCATACCTTTCAGCAG